GCGCTCCGCCCGCGTTCAAATCTGGCGCCTTCCCCTCCCCGGCTGGGGCGGGCGGGCTCCCGCCGCGGAGCCATTTTGCGAGGGGCGGCCGTGCCGCTGCCCGGCGCCGCCTCAGAGGGCGGCGGTGGCGGCCGCGTGCGCGGAGCTCCGCGTGGGAGCGGAATAAATAAATAAAGGAATAGCGGATAGACAGACAGACGGACAGACACCCTCGCCGCCCGGGCAAGCGTCACCTTGGCGGCAGGGAAGAAGGAGCGGGGCTCGCCCCAGCAACGGTCCCTGGCAGCCGTTGGCAGCCGTTGGCGGCGGGCTCGGTGGGGCCGGCCCTGTGTCCCTGGACGAAGCCATTTCAGTTCGGGCAAATAAAAATAATTTGTCTTTAGGCAGGTATTTATAGAGGAAACGTTCGGTGTAAATGGTTAAAACCTGTCAAGTTTACGAGCGACTAGCAGCAGGGCTTTATGACAGGGAATGTCAGCCAAGCGTGGTGCTGCCTCRCGGCCACAGCTCTAATTCCTGATCTGTTGGTATTAAATGGGCTGTTGGTGTAAAGGTATAGGCACCAAGATCAGCGGGGCTGCTGAAATAATATTCCACCTTAATCCATATGCAGGCACAGGTTCACAGTCATCTAATGCGTATTAACATCTGTGCATCTACTTGAGGCATTTACTACAGATATTAGAGATCTGTGCAAGTAACRTGTAGTAATTTTAAAAAATACTTCCTTGGTATTATAAGAGAGTTAGTTCCCGTTTCRTAAGGTACAGGTATTCTAGTGCAGACCCCTAGAGGCCTGTAGGCATGACTATRTCAATGTAGTCATAATTCATCTCTTAAATATCACTAAACTTCAGGACTTCTCATGCCTGAGTGTCATCTTCACTGCCTACATCACTCAGTAAAATTCTGAGTCTAAAACTAAACTAAGATCATAAGAGTAAGTAATCATGAATGTTTTTAATAGATTTTTTTTACAGAAAAGCACACAAACACAGCAATAAAAAGAAATCCAAATATATACCCCCTAAAACACAAACTGTGCTATATGAAAGCCAAATTCATGCAGACCACATTAATATCCTGTCTATGYTCTGAGTGACTACAACTAAATATTTTTAAGCATTCTCCAACATAGTAAATGGTCCTTCACAAGCATGAGGAAAACAAGTGCTTGCCACAAATCAGAAATGCTTAGACAATATGAGAGAAATGAGTAAAAATATGTGAACACAAGTGATTAACTAGCATACAAGAGAGACAAATGCTGAAATTGCTGTGCATATAAAATATATATACATAAACATCTTTACAATCATAGCCAAGTGTGATGTGCTAATCACAGATGGATTGCTGTGTAACTGAAAATACTTTCCTATTTCGTGACAATTTAAACTTCTGTAGGAAAATAAAAGAAAGCATATTTTGAGGTGGATACAGAAGTATTTCAAGAATGAAAGGATTACTCCATGGGAGAGACAGAAGAAAAGAAAGTATATTTTTAAGATATACTTTAAATTCAGGCCAATGCTAGATATAGCATCTGAAGAGTTCATTCACTGTGAGCCAGTGGGTGACCCTACCATTAGCTTCTGCAGCTATTGTTGCAAAGCTGCCAAATGTGCACTGAGGCAGCCCTTGACCTGCTTGTAATTTTCCTAAGAGTTTGAAATTGGGAAGCCTGAGCAACAGTAATCCCAATATTTAGACCCCTGATGTTGTGAAACTGAGAATAAGCAATAGACATAAGAGTAAATGTCTACAAGATCACAGGCCATTTCAGCAGTAAAAAGGTTAAGAACAGAACAAAAGAAAGCTATTTTAAAGCACTCTTCTAGTATAGGAGTCAAATGGGTACACAGTGTTTTCACATGTGTCTTTTACCTACTAACTAAAGCTATTGCAAAACAATTTCCTTACAGAAAAACAACAGGAACGCCTGCTTTTCCACCAGTATGATGAGTTGGTTTCTGGAGAATCACCTGTCACCTTTCATTGGCCTGTGAAAGGTTTGAAATTGAATTAYTCRGACTACAAGTGACAGGTAATTTTTAGGCTCTGAGTACTCCTTACAAAATTAGTTAAATGTGTGTGCACAGACGCATACATACATACATACATATATATACATATGTATATATTTGACTTTACAGGTTTTTGTAGGGAGAGTCCCTGGTTTTAGAAAGGAGCAATAACAGCAAAATAAAAACAAGATGTTTCATGGAAGTGGACTGCAATAAACTTATTCTTTTTGTGGCTGGAAGGTTCATGAAATTTAAAAAGATCTTTAAGAGAGTTGGCAGTTCCTCAAAGAAATAATATTAGGCCTGTGAGTGAGCGCTATCCCTCCATGCCGAAAACTTGAGGAATATAGTAAAAGGTCAACCTCGCTGTCACAAACTCTTCCTGAACCTCAGTCACAGGAATAAAGTGAACAGAAAGCAGAAGCTGGGTCAAGTTACTTTGGATAGCTACGGAAGTGTAGCCTCATCATGCAGGATGAAACCAGAAAAAAAGAAAGAAGGCAGAAAATGAGCTACAACTAGCAAGTGACATGGAGAATAACAGTTCTTTCTGTCTACGTATATTACCAGAAATAGAACAGATGRAGCAAATGATGACTCCACTGTCAAACTGCACCTCAAAGGCARCGAGTAACTGCCAGCATAGCTTTCATAAGGAAGAAAAGAAAATCTAATATTGTAGAATAGAAATCTAATATTTATTGCAACAAAGTAAGAGGGATTGTTAGTGGATGAGAAATATTGTGTCATGTATCTTGAGTTTAGCAACTTTTTTTGACATGATATCTTAGAAATGCTTTGAGCAAACAAGGGAAACAGAATCCAGATATTTCGGGATCTGCTATGAGTGGCTCTCTATTGGGATAGAAGGGTGTTTGTACTCAGCAATGGCTCAGAGAACATATTTACACAACTGCAAACTGGGAGGCTGTAGTATGCTGAAGTATAGATGTAGGATTTAAAAAAAAWTTCACAAGCTAGAGATAGACTCTGAAAAGACAAGGGTAATATTCACCAGGGTTACCTGCATGGTATTGAGCTGAGAGGCATGATCAGTTGTATAGATAGGAAATGGGGAGCTACTGGGTGTTCTGTAGAAAAAGGTTGGCAATTATGTGCTAAAGCAGAAGATATCGAATCATGTGAATCACAACCTGAACACAAGGCGACAGTGTTAGAGAGCTGCAGTGAAAAAGTCAAACCACATACGGAGATACAGAAGCAGGGGCAGAGCTTCCTTGTCAAACAAGCAGTAGATGTCCCTAGAAAAGCTCAGCAGCAGTGGTCTGGCTGACTTCAAGAAATGTGTAGACCATGAATAGCGCAGAAAAGAACAATTAGAATGGTCAGATACCTAGAAAATATGTCCTAGGTGGAAGATATGAATAAGTAGYAGATACTTAAAAGACAACCGTAAGAAAGAAGTGAATGATTTGCTCTCTGGATCCGTAGTGGATGCGTCAAGAAAGAACAAATGTAAAAAGCAGCAAAGAAAGATTCAAAAGTAAAAGCTTTCAGACTACAAGGATAGGGAAGAAGGTTGGCTGGGAGCTTACGGGGCCCTTGACATTGGCCTGAGAGCGGTGGGACAGCCATCCGTCACGTGGCGTCACCTTAGGGCCGGGGATGGACTGAGTGACCTTGCAAGGCCCTGCCACCTCTGTGATTCAATGAAGGCCACGTAAAAGAATCTGCTTCTTCAGGGAAAGGACTTTATTGTTTCTGCAACAATGAACAGGCTTCCAAAAATAGATCGCTTCAATAACAATTTTTAAACTGCCTTCATAATTTCTGCGTCCTCCTTCATTCAAGCTGTCACAGTATGATTGTCCTGGGTAAGTATATTGTAGAGAGATGAGAGGCTGCACAATTGTGCTATGCAGGGAGGGCCATAATTTAGACATATATAGGTCAGACTTCTACTTGGATGTGAATTCCACAGACAATGTAGATTGATATCTGAGGGCAAGGTAGCACTGCATTCTTTCTGGAGAAAGACGCTTACCTTTTTCTGAGAAATTATGCTGAGTGGCTAT